ATTGGCTTAAAAGTCTGTACAGACGTTGAGACGTTTGTGATTTAGATTGGCCGTCGGCTGTATAGGTTCTAACTATAGCGTGTGTAAATTCAGAAATATGAGAATCTTCTTGTAAGAGTCAGATTATTCGAGGCAGGGGACACTTCTTTTCGTACTCCAGTCATGCCAAACTCCCAAAAAATCCTAGGGAGGAAGGCTTTCAACAGATCATCATGGTACCTAACATCCGATTGTTCCGCCCAAATCACATTCCTCACTATAAGCAGTCTAAAACGCCTTTTAACTACCACGCTGCGCTAAAAGCCGCGGCTTAGAAGGCCGCCAACTGCCGGGGTAACTCAGTTCTCATCTCAGGACGGGGAGTCGGGCTGCGATGACTCCTTCTCACTGTGGTCTCTATGGCTCTCCCACTCAGCTGTTGTTTTGGTGAAAACCTGGCGCATTGTGCGCTGACTAGGCCTGCACGGTACGCGTGGTTTAGCTCTGCCATCAACCGTGCCCTCTCCCGTCTCCAATCTCCTCGACTCTTTCATGACACCGGGACCAGGTGGGACAGGAGGAGAGAGCGCGGTGGATGCAGCCCAAGGCACCTGTCATTATCAACTGACTCACGCGCCGGTCACTGTTTGTGCGTCCACTTTGCTGCCGAACACACACAGTGGACACCGTCAGTAAGGATAGTCAAACTTTCGCACTATACATGCAGGTTGTTGTACCTTGGTAGTTTGTCAGTTGGTCGGAAAACGGCCTTCATTCAGAAGCAGATCAATGGAGCTTCATTCTTTGCGTGGGTCTTGCATGCCTGCGTCAGTATGAAAAAGTGGTTGGCTGAGTGCTGAACATGTAAACGGTCGACCCACGGGTCGATCACAAAGCTCCAAGGGTCAAGGTCCAAGGGTAGGCCTAATGAGTGGCCTTACGTTGGTGGCACGCCTCAGACTAGCTTCGATGTCACGACCGTTGATGGACAGGCGTCGGAAAATGGGCTGCTCTTGCAGACGTGATAGATTGGTCATCGAAGTTGAGGAGGGGTTGAAAGTGCCCACGACATCCTTCCACCGTTACCGCACTGTCGGCAATAAAGTCGTCATTCACATCGCATACAGTCATTCAGTATAGAGAGTTTGCCGCTAACTTGACCAGTTCCACATACATTGGAGACCTGTCCCCTTGAGGTCATTACTTCTTACGGTCATCTCTAGCCGACTTTGCTGTTGTTTTCCGGAATCGGCGGAAGAAATTATTGTTGCGTGACCCGGCTTGACCTCTCTTCAGATCCAGTCGCTGCCACGGCGCTGGGTGGGTCTAAGAGCATACTTTGCTGCCGAATAGACTGATGATTTCTATGATGTCGATTTACTACTATCTTCTTCGATTCGGGTCGCAAAACGAGGCCGGATTTCTGTCCTCAGAATTTCGACTATACTGGGTTTTGCAACACCAGGTCGTTTCGCGAGTGCAATTGGGGTGCGGATGTGAGAGGAACTTTTGGGTGTTTGCGAATGTTAACATGGTCCGACCCATGGGCTTAACCAGCTTCGACAGCATGCTTCGATCGATTATCATGGACCCGGCTGCAGAACCGTCTACCAATTACGATATAGTCAATCTGACTGGCGGTACGGCCGTCGTTTGAAATTTGTGGCGACGCTGGAAGCACGTGTTGGTGACGAACAGTCGATTTGGACCAGCAAAATTCGACATTATATCACTATTGTCGCATCGAGACTCAAACCCATAACGGCCCATGGTGTGAGTGCCCGAAGGGTCCCCGAGTTCGGTCACCAGCATTAATCAGCAGATCGCGGTGAGGGAGTCAATCAACTAACTCGACGGCAATTGCAAGTAGAAGGTCTCTATCGCGCTGTTCGAAAGCCGATGTTGGTATGTACACGGAGACCACAGAGAAGTTCGCAGGGTTACCCTTCAAAAGCTATGCAGCTATTGACTGGTTTCCATGCAAGTAGGCCACGGTTGGTTTGTTCTGAGAGGACGAGTACCACACCATGTGAATCATCATCTGATACCTTCACCATCAACACCCTCACCTCTAGCGATATGGACTCGGTCCAAACCTGTCCTCACTGCGGTCGCATATTCACCTCCCACATCGACCAGAAACAGCTTGTCCTTGCGGTTGACTGAAGCGTTGTTTGAGCAGTCTAGTGTATAATCTTTGTGCGCTTTACTGACACACGCTGCGTCACATTTTGGTGCGTCATTCTGTAGACCGCCGTTTTGTCTCCTCTTACCGGGAAATGGCATTTAAGCCTCACAACTTGCTATCTGATTGTCAATTCCGGTTTGCGGGCCTCAGTGTCGGTGTTTTTAAATTCCTAAAATCGTCTCTGAAACGTTCTCCGAATACGGCATTACGAGCCAGAACTTTGGTTTCCCATCTTTTGACTCCTCGAAGTGAGACAACGGGAAACACTCGCTCAAGAAGGACGTCGGGCAAATGTTAACTTCACATAGAGAGTGCAAATATTTCATCACCTCCCTCATTCCGTGATAATGACTACAGTCTGACTGAACGTTTAGTATGACGGTTCTGGTAAGATTGCATTTTTAACCGGTGGGTTGGTTACTTCTGAAGTGGAGAATATGCCTCCTCTCGGTTTCCCTAAGTAAACCGTTGTCCTTGCATTCTAGACTGCCAGTTTTGTAACTTGTTTTTCGAGGAAGGGCAATTGATTGCTGACCTCTCCTTCCATGGTAAACCCTGCGTCGGGAAAGAGTGGACTTAAAGGAGGATTGAAAGCTCATACGAAGTTCCCTTTGATCACGACGAATGTGTTATCAGCCTAGCTGGCCGAGAATTTCTGGGGTACTAGCTGAAGACCAGACACTTGAGCCTCTACAAGACCGCTTTGGTAAGTGGTTCAGGCAGAAGAGAGCCCATCGGCGTCCCCATCTTTTTTTCTGACATTTGGCAGTTAGGTGTGAAGTAAGTCTTGAGACACGGTTCTTGGAGCTCGGCTGCGTGCACTCGCCTGAGCTCTTGGTCGTTTTCATCATTTTTCTCGAAGACTGTTGACATCGTCACTACTCTGTGCGGGTGGAATAGAGGGGAACAGCTGAACCACATAATATGACATCATTGCCTCGCCCTCCTCCAGTTTTTAATTATAGATACGAGTCAGAACTCTTCAGCCAACTTCATTGTATACCGAATCCTTGGCAAGTGAAAAAATTTGCTAGTCCAGCCACTTTGGCAACCAAAGGCTGCAGTGCTGCGCATGAAGACGATAGGGCATAAGAACACTCCTGGTTTGTGTACTTTCGGCAGACCGCAGACGCGTGTAATCGAGGCAGCGGTAGATTTTGCGGCCACTGCTTCTCTTCTAGTGAGGATATCTGCCTTCCACAACTTGCGCATCACTCCGTTTATGCGGCTCACATGTTTTTTTCTGCTCGCTGGCAGCCGAATACGTATAAGATTATTTGCCCATCAAGAGATTTCCAGTTTGATCCAGCTGTCGGTCTTGCCCATGGCAACTATCAAGCGCCCCTGATCGGCAGGCAGGGTGACAATATTTTCCATTTTCCTTAATCTCAGAAGTTCATGATCATCTGCTTTGGAATTTGTCAAAATAATCTAATAACAGTAGGTTGATGTAGGTTGATATAGAATGGAATGTTTTGAAAGCTTTGTCAGCGGCTATTCTTAATCTACAGCCAACAGGACGCTCTAGAATGGAGTTTGTGATATGCTGATTTCATTCCTTTGTTAGCCAAGTTGGGAGGTATCTTGCTTCAGTGTATTTTTGCTTCTCTCTCAAAAGTATGGATTTCTTTGGCCAAGATCATTTACTTCATAGAAACTGGCAAAAGTAAGTATACGCGCACATGTGATCTGGATTGTTCGCAGATCCTTGCCTGAAACCTGACGAAGTTTTATAATATTGAGTTTTTTCTTTAGCTGAGAGTGTGCTTGTAGCCTGGACTTAAATTTTGCTTTTTCTTACAGCTATGGTGCCTGTATAAACAAGATGAAATGTTGTGAATGCTTTTCTTCGTTTTAAAGAGTTTTCTTCCCGTCGTAGATTTTTCCATTTTAAGTGGCTGTTATAGCAGATTTCCTGGATAGTGCGCCCCAGAAAACCTTCATCTCAGATGAGGTGTCAATTAATGTTGAAAAATCATATCTGTTTGGCTTTTTTGTTAAACAGAAGGCAACTCTTTCTGACTTGGTGGTAAAAACGATGCAGTTTGTTATTCGTCCTTTTCTTTTTTTTACGACAAATGGTTCTCCTGACTGCAAGGCTGATGTCTTTGATCCTCGATTCTTCAAAGTTCCAATGCCGTGGAGTATCCAGTCTTACTCCCCCCCGATACTCATTTCTATTTTGAAACAGTCCTCTCATTCATTCATCTACGAATGTTTGTGCAAGTTTACTTACTTGATAAAGAAATACTGAAAAATATTGTTCGACTTTTGGTGTCATTTATGATTTTAAATAACGATCGCCTGTCTATTCTACTGGTGTCAAATCTCGTTCCACTTAGCTGTGCAGAACAGCGGTCGCAAAGGACTCACTGACGTGTCCGCCTTCGATGCTTTGTGTTGGAATGTATATGAATTTGCGGAATAAAAAAAAGTCGAAATTCATTGATTCTATTGCACCACTGAATTTTGTAGGAAATTGATGAAGTTCTCAGTATAGCCGTAAAATTTTGCGGAAGGAAAAAATGCAAGGGGTCCAATTATTGTCATTGAAAGACCTCGCGAACTCGATAGGTTTTTCAAAAAAAATATTCACGCGTTCGTGTGGATTTAAATTTCATCCACTCAAATTCATTTTTAGTTTAAAGAACTTTCGATTAGTTTGAAAAATACATTTATCGTTAAGTACTGCAAGAGCAAAAGATTGACAAGAGAAATCAGAAGGTTTAATTATGATAGATGATTAGAGATGCCACCGAGTCCGTGAAAATTATTTTCAATCATACAAAAAAGGTCCAGCGTGGGTGAGAAAGGAGCTGGTAGAAAGGACAAATCAGGTCCTGACACTGTCATTGTTTCCGTCAGTGGCCATAAAAATAAAGCAGATTGCCATGCGTCATCCTCGAATTTAGTGCAATTTTCCATGCAAAATTTTTGTTCATTCACATCAAAATTTACGTTAGTTTTAAAGTTGTTTGCCCCTTCAGTTGGAATATATTGACTTATTAAGTTACCTTATATTTTGTATTATACAAATTAAAGACTTCGAGAAGAATACTTAAATGAACAGATCCGCAAATTAACTAGTATAGTAGACTGAATGTTCAAATATTGTACAAGTTTTCAAGGTAAAATGTGCAATGGGGAAAATAAGTAAAACAACAAGGACGAGTTACGATAGTCTGATCTAGATAATCATGACTGTTTAAGTAAAATGTTAGATTTTTATAAGCCACTGCCGTCAGCAATACTTTTAACCCTAAATTCCATAACTAACGGTGTTAAAACAATCTCTATCCTATCTACAAGAAAACCAAAAAAATAAATAAACATTATAGCTCTTTGCATGTGCAAGTCAAACAGTCTAATGAAACTTACGGCTGAGGTTTGGCTAATAAAGAGATTTTGGCTTTAGTGCATTGTATTAGTATCAAATAGTATTTGTATTCACTATATCAAGGGATAATGATATGTATACACAAATTTCCAACGTCTCTGAACTAACCCAGTAGTCGCTTTAGGAATGTTTTCCCTAAAAAAATGCAACTGTCCTCAGAAAACCGTTACCGGAGAGTTTTTCGTTGAATTCAAGAAGTATTTTCTGGGACAGATAATAACCAGTCTTACAAACTTACCGACATTTACTCCGTCATCTAAGAAAGTATATTGTGTTCAGAAGTTGCAAAAACACAAGACGTCAATGAAAGGAATGAAACTCACCTGCCAAGAAGTCTATGGCCACTTCAGCTGAAATTCGGTAAAAATTTTACCGAATGATAATTAGTTATGCATACTGTTAAAACTCTCGCTGAAGGATTTCTAAAAGCATCAAAATATTCTTACCACCTTATTTGATACAAAGATAGAAGGGCAATAACATTATCTTTTACTTGCCTAGCGACATTTTTCCTTAAAGAGACGAAAAACAAGGCGTCATGATTTTTTTTGAAAACCGCAGAAACCGACTGGCGTGAATAATGAAATGTAGCATCACTTGGGTAAAGTTTATTTGAGACATTTTAACTCACTTGTCACTATTGTCTCAATTGCCTTGACTAAATTTAGAATGAACGACTTTGGTGAGATGTAAGGAAAAATACAAATTAACCTCTTCCATAATCGTAGGTCTTACAATTTTGCCAATTGAAACACATATAACCCAAGCAAACTGTATGTAATTATTTTGCGTCCGCATATAGCAGCCTGTTCAGTGAGCATGTTGTCATATATACGAAAAGGCGGTTTATCTAGTGTGATTTGCATTACTCCCCAAATTATGTAACGATGCACGAGTATACCAAAGAGTGTCTATCAAGTTAAATAGTGTCACGTTGGCGAAAACTGTCATTACGGGGTATAAGCCAAAATTTTTTGTGGACAGATATTGCGACCATTATGATATTATATTGCTTTAGCAAACGTACCTAAGCCGCTTAACAAACCTGAAAAACAAAATTCAAGGAACGTCTAATTTGCATTTTAACTGCTTACAAAGAACAATCATAAGAAGGTATCGAACATGTTTCAGTACGTACGGGCTAAGGACGCTGCCTCTTGCTCTGAAACACAGTAAAGTTATTAAAGACAAAATTCTGTCACTTCTACAAGCTAAATAAATCAATATGACTGATGGAAGTCTCCGAAAGTACCTGTTATTTGTTCGACAAGTTCTTTTACTGTAATAGAAGGTACAAATGTTCCATCATTCCCTTCTGCATGGCGGCACTTCTTCGAAGTTACGTAAAAGAAGTATAGAAAACTACGTAAGCTTCCTATGTTATAGAAGAACATGTTTTACTTACGCAGCCTTGTAGTGACGGCTAAAAGCAAAACATTTTATTTGTCCGTTTGTCACGTTAAATGTACGTTAGCGGAGAGGAAATGACGCTTTGTACATACCCTCCATTACACTTGTCAAAACCGATACTGAAAAATATACAGCGTTAATGCATAAGACTAAGTATTTTATATATTGATGCGCAAGAAACAGTAGATTTAACTAAGTATTTCAATATCCTTCCTCGTGCAATTGGTAAGGCTCACCTAGGTCCTTGCCCTGACCTGAAACAGTGACGCAAGATTACTTCGATGTCCTTAGGAGTACAATTTTTCTATATAATTCAAAACACATGCTAACAAAAATTATGGATGGGTATTTACCGCCGAGGACTTTGAGAACTTCAGCAACTGGCACAAATACAAGAACACATTAAATATCTGCATTAATAAATCCCCACAAAAAAACAGTATCAACAAGGCCAGGGCATACGTATGTCGGTTGTATTTCCTAAAATTCAAGAAACTTTGGTCAATCAGGTTATCATTTAGCTCTCCAACAGATCTTAAAGACAAGAGGCCAGTTATCACCTTTGAAGAAGTTTAGAATGTCCTCATCTAAAAGACAAGATTTGAAGTTTGTCAAAAAGGCTCACAGATGCGCAAGTATGCAGGAGAGTTTTGAATGCCAAAAAGATAAAAAGGTTATCATTCTACTAGGTTGACATTTTTTAGTTCGTAACTGGCCCATAACAGCTTTAAGGTATTAAAAGTAATTCCCACACAGATGTCAAAACATGTTTCTTTATGACTTTGGTAGATCAACATTTGTGGCATGAAAAACGTTTAAAAAACACGATTCGCATTCAGTCTTTAAGACATTTGGTATACTCACTTGATTCCCCATCTTTTTCTTCATTTCATAAAGTATAATCAAAGTTATCAAAATGGTAATAGCATGAAATATTGTACGGTAGGATACGGATATCTTCTGTGTGAACACAGTTAATATGAACTCACTTTGCACGAGGTCAAGAAAATTGCGCACTAGAAACGAAAAAGCAATTATGCAAGAACGTCTACCTTATTACCCGAAGGCATAATTATCTAAACCATTACGGCGTTTCATTGCTAAAAATTCAACTTTGACCTTTTATGAAGGCCAGATTAAAATTATTTATAATTCAGATTTTAACTTAATTTTTTATGTCTACTTAACCAGACATTTTTGATGGGTTTCATTCACAAATAGTCAAATTCTCTTACTCAGATCCTGTGCGTTTCCTAAAATCCCAAATTATTTTGTCATTGTCAGAATCGCTGGTCTCTTCTGCTCAGCGTGCTAACACGTGAACATAAATAAGCTCGGTTTTTAAATTTTACCTTCGAAAAATTCGAGAACAAAGAGTTCTAAAATTAGAATTGAATAACTAGATAAGTGATGCCGTTGACATTGCTCACATGAACACATAGCTATATAATGTCACTCTGTTTAAAACACTGGTAGAGCTGCGTGGCAAACTTTATGGAAGTTTGAAACCCATGTACTAACTAACAGGCATCAGTTATATCGAAACCATTAATATGCGTTTTAAACAAGTACAAAATTATCAACATATGTTTTTCAGAATACAAAAAAACAATGTGTCCAAATAATTTGCATTTTTTTCATACCCCAATTCCGTTCTGAAGCACGAAAACATTAACAAATACTAGACTTGTTTGTTGGTAAACAATTGCAAAAATAAGGTCCTTTCGTGGCCTTAAAAACAGCAGAAACCTTAATAAATACTAGGAACATTGTGTTCCTATGCTAGCCAAAATATTAAAATAACTGGATGGTGTCTCACCTGTTATCAGCGTGAGTAACGCTGGAGCTACAAAAATAGAGCACCATGTTTGACAGCATATGCGTTTTCTGTGCTTTAACTCCGTTAGGCTTCCAGTCGAAACTGAAAGCAGCCTTAAAAAAATAAGACCACTTGCAAGGACTACATAAGGAAAAAACGGTCATACACTTATGCTGAAGGTACAGTTGTTTAACCTTCTTCTTTTTTCCAATGGAATGACGATCCTCGTCTGTTTTTGGAACCAAATCCTCCGAGAACTGCCGTGGATGGGACTTCACTGACCCTCTATCATGGTACGTTGCCGCTAGCGTTTGTTAAGATGTCTCCTCGCTACTTACTGGTATTTTTTCGTTAAGACAAATGTGCCCCATTTTGACCAGGATAACATTAGTATTTAACTACCTTAAGCCCTGTTATGAATGTCTACTAATTTAAAATTATATAAGGCTAGCTCTATGATTGAAGCAAAAGATACCACCGGCATTAACCTGTTTGGCAATATAAATTGTTCAACCATCTGTGGCATAAAAATCAATGTCAGTCCATATATCTATATAGATGCCTAACCACCAGTTACTTGCCCACGCAGAGTTCTCCACTATAAAAAGCTTTACTTTCGCAATCAACTCTCTGATTATCTCGACTATTTATGCTCATGCCACCGGATGGTCTGCCGGTAACACTTGCGGTCTTTAAGTGCAGCCTACGCTTTCAAGATCAGGAAACCTTCGCAGACGCTGGACCGTTCCTGCATATCAGCCTACGCTATTTTTGGATTTTATCCCCCATTATCAGTTCTGCAAATAATAGCGCAAACGATTTCTCGTCGGTTTATGACCATTTAACTAAAGGCATATAGGCATGCATTCATTCTGGAAAATAATTATTTTTTAATAAAAAAACCTTAATAACAACTTTCTACCCAAAAGGCGTCGACGCATAAACTAACATGCAAACTGACATAACTAAAGAAAAATCAGCGGCCAAATCATTACAGTGGGACTTCAAGTGGATGGCACAATTTAACTTATAGATAATATTTGCGCCAAAACTCTTTTGAGAAGAAAATGGAATGAGTCCACAGTTAAGACGTTTTTCACCACAAAAAATAAAGTGTATCTTTAAAAGAGGAAGGTTCGATCTCTGAAGCTGAAGGTTTATTGGCCTAACGATTCAGATTCTCACTTGATTCCATCATGAAAAGTAGTTTCAAATAATGGGTTTGAGTGAGCGTCTGAGGCGTCAGGCCAACAAACATCCCATTGCAGCGAGCGCATGCCTTGCCTCTGGACCTGCTCGATCGAAATGTTGTCCTATTTTTAAGCAGCATGTGTCCTCACCGGTCATCGACCATGGCTTAAGAATTGCATGACAATCCTAACAGAAAAAAATGGGAGACGCGCAGCCAGGATCACTGATCACATAATATGAAAATGAGAATGTAGGGGATATTGTATGAACGAAATATGTTTTCGATGGACAAATGGGCCCTTTTCATGGAATGATAAACTGATTGACAGGAAGCATTTCGGAATACACCATAAATATAGACTTATCCTCCTGTCACTTCCAGGCAATTACTTTATTTCGTATTTCCATACATACAAAATTTATTGTTCAAAATCAATTATCAATCTTTAGGCGTTGCCAATGGTCTTAAGAAAATATGGCTTTCTTGGTCAAAACATGTGTTTTAATTGTAAGCGATAAGGTAAGAAGATGCTTTGAAACTTCAAAAACTGAAATTTGAGTGGACGGCACGGCTCTTACTGCATGTGTTTTGCAGAGAGGCTGCTATTGCCGATGAACGTTTGATAAGATAATTAAGCTGTAGGCAGTTATTACGTCTAAAAATTACTACAATAATTTGTTTAAATCAATAGGCCCCCTTATCTTGCGCTGCTCTTTTTATTTGTTTGGTTATGTTCCTCTTAAGTAACCGTATTGCAAAACACAACCACACCAACATTTTATAGATATTATTTATTTTTGAGACAGAAACAAAACTTTAATGCTAACTTCATGTCCTACGTGGGAGAAGGTACTTTTATGTAATTTTTCAGGATATTCTGATTCTTCGGTTGGAATTCACTTGTCAAAAAAGTAAATGTTTCTACTAAAAGGCTCTCTTTTGAACACATGCCTCCTTGTAAGAAAATTCTCTTTTATGGACACTGCTCACACAAATACGGTTAAGACAACAAAAATCGTGTCCACTACTGGTAATTAAGACAAAAATATAATTATAAAGTTAGCAATATTTTTAATTATAACAGGCACTGCCATGTATAATAAACAATTTCACTTTCTAGACTTTCTTACAACAGTCTTTTAGATGCTACGGAGTTCGATCTGGAACTCCTTGCACGCCAGTTATGTCAGTCAACTTTGAATACTATGTCTACTCTCTGTTTTACTTACCAATGGTCTTCAATTTGCCTAAGGAAAATAGCCAAGTTTTATGTTATATTGCAATTTGAAGGAGGCATGCATTCATTTGGATACGCCACTGTATAAGCGTTATGATTATTACCTATTCCGAATTCCTTTGCGCGACCAACTTCGATGACATGAAAAAGCGCAAAGTTAGACCCGAGACAAATATATATGAGAGCAAACGAAATACAAAATAGGCAAACAGCCCGGGCTCAAAATGCTTAAGAGGCATGCTTAGTTGAAGGGTTGGCATGGTGTTGTAGGTAGTTATTCATTTGGGTTGAGAGGACAGGTTACGTTCAGAGTCCAGCGAATTCCATCCACAAAAGGTCAAATTTTGCAATTCGGTTTGCCACAGAGCATGGATCTAACAGATATGCACATGGACAAGTTCACAACCATGACATGACATTGTCGAAGTTAAGCTTTTTGAAGCCACTTACGTAGGTACACCCCGAGCTCTGATGCATGTGGAAAAATTTGGATTTTGTTAATATGTATTACTTGATTTACACGAGCAGTTTTATAAGAATGTGAAGGAGATGTTACTTAATATTTTTTTACAGACCCACCTTTCAGCAGACCCACGAATTTTTCGCCTACAATTTTGCAATTATTTTTAATATATTATTACCAGCAATCTTATCAAATTCAAGGGAAACGTTTTTAACCTGTTTCTACTGAACATTTTCTTACCAATTTTGGCAAAATAATATGGCACTGAATCAAGGGTTTCTTAAGCCATAGTCCAAAACACGTTATATCTTCCAAAATCGACGCATCCATGAGAACGGATCATTGTTTGTATTTAATTGACGAGTGTAGAATTAAGCCCTATAAAACTATGCCTGATTTATTGCATTATTGCTGAAGAATGCAGAACGCTGAAACCCTTCAATAACTCTGCGTTTATAAAAACCCTCAGGAAATTTCACTTTAACCTAAAACGCAATCCGTGCATGGGCTGTAAGATGGGGAGCGAGCGAAGGATATTGTTTTGCCACTAGGTGATTCACGTAAGGTCAATGGCAAACAGACTAGGTGTATTGAGTTTCTCCAACTTTGGTTTAATCGATTGCTTGAGTGTTCGTCAAAGATGTTTGTCAAAGATTGAGACATATTAAAACTTTGTTTCGAGCAAAACCACACTACTTTCGAACATTGTGTTCAAGCAAATTTTGAAACGCTTAATAGGCGATGGAAAAGAGAATGACATTTTTGTTTGCGGACATTGGTAATAAAACCAGAATGAAATTTCGTTTGGCAAGCTTTTGCTGTTCAAAATAAATTGCCTGTGCGGGTAAGTTGTGTTTTTTGACCTGATGAATCGCATATGCTTCGCAAACAGAGCCTAACAAACAACTTTTCGATAATAGGGATAATTGGTATGTATAAATGTATTTTAACTGGAATTCGTATCCTGGGAGTTAAGACAATAGGGATGACTCCCTCAGTCATCAAGATCGACGAAGCAAATCAACGAAAGTTATGCTCCCAAACTTAGTCATTACTCTTTTTAGAGACATTTTGCCGAAGGATTTATGTTCCATCAACGCTCTTTGTGGATGGGTTTGGGCTAAAGTAGGCTCGTTGGTCCACGCGAACATAAAATTTCACTTGTAAATATGGCATTAGAATAAACTTCTACATAAGGTTTACTAAAAATTGCCATTAACGGCAAACATATGTCCTTATGTGAACTTTTTTACGAATATTAACGTGCAAAACAATGTTTACTGGAACTTGTCGTATATGTTCAGTTTTGACGAAAATATTGCTAAGCAATATTATTCTTTTGTCTTTATGTTAGACCTTCGTGAGTTGTTTAATTTTTGGATGTATTTTAGTTTGAGGGGTAAAAACCATGTAAATTGTCCGAAGTTACCTTTAACGCGGAAAGTTAAGCAAATAACAGGCCAGCCTGAGGCAACTTATTTTTACTAATTCTCTTACGATTTACTACAATGCTACTATGTTCATATTTTCACTCAAATAAAATTTCGGATCTAGTTTTAATTGACGGATGCCGCAATCTTATGTTTGAGGTAAGACTGAGGCATAAATGTCGGCATCCAAACACGGAAACGGAAAGAACTTTTGTATTTACATACCCGCATTTTTAGGCGTGTGAGTAACTGAAAAAGTAAATTTCTTATCAGCAGATTTATTGCATCTTCTTGCAATGTTATAAGGACAACTCTCAAAAACGGACAAAAGTCAAAAAATTATTCGTGAAATAAGGATAAAATTTGTTATTGTGCGTTTTAATTGAAAATAGTTCGCCAAGTGTCCGTGGTCCGGAGTTTCATTTTGTGATATAGAAAAGTAAATTCGAGCCCAGCAAGTTTACAGTTACTTTGTTGGTTCACAAATTCCTAAAAACTGGTCCGACCTCTTATGTTCACCCAAGTTATAGACCGGCTCATGCCCCGCCAAGGACATTTTATCATATACATTTCCTTTGCATAACAACAAATACATATTTATGATGCAAGCCATACGCAGGTCCATCAACTGACATCCTTTATGCGACTCATCGTAGGAATGCAAACAGCAGAAACGAAATTATGAAAGTTGGAATCATGTTTGCGTACCTGACAGTTCAGTGCCAATTTCGCCTAAGAAAAAAAAATAATAAAAATGTGTACTTCATCCGCATGTTTATAATTGTCTAAATATTGACTGCAATTTAGTATAGCCTCGAATCACACGCAAAATAATTATTTCTCTTCAACTAAAATGCATACTGTGTAAATAACAAAGAAAGTGAGAAATGTTCTGGATTTAATTCTTACCTATGTAAAACTGGGTAGTCGGTTATGTGGGTTTTTTATTTTGTACGTTCACCCCTTAAATTGCTTCATGATCTTAGGAGACGCCAACTTGTAAAGAGCCAAAGCTTTTTAATTTGGATAATGCCTCAAAAATTATTATTCCTCTTTCTACAAAATGAAACCTAAGAATAACATCAGCTATGGTCTAGATAAGCGTATTATATTAAAAACGCAATGAGCTCATCTACCTGTGGGTGCCGCAAACGCCGCAGCAATAAGGAAGCAGCAGACAATGAATTTGTGCATGTTGGTGCATAACCGTGTGTTTCCCGTCTGTGTCTTTATATACAAATTTGCAAAGTGCTGTAGCACGTGAGTAACCACAGACGTGCGTTCACGTGTACGAGGAGTTTGCGCGGCAATAAAGTACGTGGACCCATGGCGAGTTTGAAGTTTGCTTCCAAACTTTGCTACTCCAGCTAACAATTTCTTGATAAACCGCTTCTAGTACTTGTCAACGGAGAAGATAAATAAGGAATTCGGGACCGCATTTTCAACTGCCGTAGGCGACTATACGAATTCCAAAGTAAGCAAAAGCATCTACGATAAGTTGTTAGATAGCGGTCATCCTGGCAATGCATGTCCTAAGTGAACTCTAAAAATCTGATTTTGAATAAATCACTCAATCGTCAAAGAGGTGCCCTTTTTGCAAGCAAACACATGTTTAGAGAACAAATACTCAAATACTACATTACATATAAACGTTGGCGTCGCTTTTAAAAGACTTATTTTCTATCCTCGGAATTAAGTAAAACAGTGAGAGGTGCCGTTTGGCTCCTTTGTCTTTTCAGGCGCCAAAGCCACAAGTGGTATTAAAATATAAAAATACCGTCGGTCGTGGGCAGCAGCCTTGGTCTTTTGAAAGTCCTAAGGATTTAGATGAGATTTGAGTGTTATTACCGTTTTCGTATAAAAAATATTGTGTATTATACCCAGCACTGCCGGTTATTGCTTCGTTTTTTGATTCTATTTATTTGATTTTTCAAGAGGATGGTCGCATGTATAGCACCTGTACACTCGGTCAAGTACTCCAAATACGTTGTTCTTAAGTACAGTATGTGACCTATCTCATGAAATCCGATAACGGAAGCTGGTTAGAGAATTTTTTGACACCTTTAACGTGGCGCATTTTGTTAGCTCACCCACATCCTTCAATGAAATGTCCTTTTCTTGTTCAGAAATTGTGTTTGCGTAATTATTTCAAGTTAAATATCAGTAAGTTTTAGCGAAACTAGACGTTGAAACATATTCGTGCAATTTCCTATGCTAATATATTACTTAGACTCCAGTTACGCATTTAAGCGACTTTTTCATTGAACGGGTTTAGCCGGACTAGAAATTTTATTTCGTGTCCGATGTTGACCATTATTATCAGTCGCCTAACAAAAAGGTTATTTTAAAAAACCAGGGGTTTTATCAATTCCTTTATGTCAAATTAGCAGATCTGTGCGAATTGGTGCCCTTAAGTGCAATAATAACGCAGACTGAGATTCCCTCGTTTAAGTGTCCGACACTTTTTGCCGTTTGGAAAATTCTACTTGATGTCACATAGATGACCACCACGGAATAGTCATTTCCAGCTTTAGACATATTACACACTACTTTTCGTGTAGGTTAGCTTCTCTGCACACCTCATTCAGAAATAGAACGAACAAAACATTAATAGTTTCAGCAAAATATCAGTATTTATATGGGCGCTCTGTCGTGCATTCGTAATCGAAGAACGGAGTCTAAAAGCGAGCAAAAACAACGGGAATGGCCTCAATGTATATACAAAGGCACGTTCTCACGTTTACGGTAGAAAAATATTGTTATTGCTTAAGAACGTGAAAGAAACCGCCAAAGGTGTCAAAATTTTACTTGTCCTCGCCGTGCAAAAATGCAAAGTACACACAGATCCGTCGACGGAGTGCAGTAATAAAGCACTTCATAAAGAGGTAACTTATTGAGCAATTTTTTTTTATTGATCCAAGGCATATTCGTTGCTGACTTTCGTTGTGGACAGTCATTTTTCTCGGAAAGGAAGTTTGATGTTTGAATGAGTCTTCAAGTAGGACCCAAACGACCATCTTCGTAAAAAAAACGCCTGAACACTCAGTAATTCGGTAAATGCCTTCCGGAACAATCTTATTTTAAATTTCTCAACAGACTGCTAATTCGGAATCTGTCTTTATAGAAGATCGTGTGAAAACACCGAAAATTATGAAGTATTCAGCAACATTTCGAGGCCGATCTGAAACTTAGCGTAATCCAAAACGAACGAGAAGTTTAAATTAATTTAACTGGAGAAAAGTTCTCTCTATAAGCACAAAATGTTTAAGATCACACCTGTCAGTTCTATTTAAATTTATTAGGCATCGACCGGCCTCATGGCATGTCACCTTATGAAAACTTTTGATCCTACGACGTCCCCATCGGCTAAATCAAGCAAAATGTAGCTTCTTTTGTTGAACCCCATCTCATTTAACTCCAAATAGTCAAGGGAATAATTAAACACTGGAAAACTGTTTTTGAATCTACACCCAGAATGTAGGCAGTTGACAAACTGTCATATATGATGTCACACTACTTATTAAACGATATTTAGATGTAAACGTCACTGAAACGCTGTTATTAGACGTGCTTTTATGTCCACTTTCATATTTACTACGTGCTTCGTATGAGAATATATTATATGCATCTAAAAACGAACTTTACTTAATTAGAGCCATTTCTGACGTTTTCGGGATATTGCGCTTTTCAAAATAAATCGACATTTCTAAACAACGCAACACTGCCTATAATATTTCTTTTATGTTTTTGATTCTTTTCAACTTGTACTTAATTAACATATGCATTTGACTCATGAAATGGTGTTGGTTTGCGAGCGATTAGCAATCATTCGTAAATTTCGACACATTTCATAAGTTAGGTCACGCACTGTATGTTTGACTAATCAAAAGGCAGCCTGGTAGTTTTTGACATTGTGGTGAGAATGTAAACAGTAGAATCCACTTTATTCATTGTTCAGGATATCTTACACAACACTGATTACACAATGATTCGAACACTCTTTTGGTTTGTTGTTACACCCTGTAATTTCACCTTGGTTTTTAAAGGTA